ACAGGAGATCACATACAATTTGCATATATTTGGAAATATGAACCGCAATGCAAAAAAATCGGATTTCACAAAAAAAAAACGAAATTGAGCATCAAGGCTTGCAGTGTGAATGTAGCCTAAATGATTTGGGGCAGTCCTGCCTGGGTTCTGACTTGAATTTCATGTAGAACCTGTGGAGGGAGCTAAAGATGAGGGGGATGATAATATAAAAAGCTCAGGTTCTGCTGGAGCTCTTTGCTTTTTAGAAACTTCTGATCAATAAATCTATGAGAGACAAACAGAATTTTATCCGGAGAACAAAAGAGCTGAAAAGAAAGGAGCTGATGTTTTATGAGCAGAAACTTTCAGGTAAAGTCTAATTAATCAAACAGCTTGTTGCTAGTGCAACCACGTTTTTGTCATTTTTGGGAGAAAGAGCACATTTCTTCTTTATTTGGCCCACAAATCGTCTCTTTTGGCCAAGGTGGAGTTTTTGCAGCTCTGAGCGGGAGGCCTTTTCTCTGCAGGAGCAGTGCGGTTTGAAATCAAGATGTATTTTTTGCAGAGATACAAAAATTTAAAGTTAAACCTCTTTATTCTCTGTCATTTGGAAATATACCACTTTGGTGAATAATGTCTAAACTATCCCTCTAAAGAAAGTTTAATTCAGAAACATGAAATATGCAAAGGTGCAACAACAATAATAAATAATGTCAATTGATCGAATTGCCTGCTGGTCTGCAAACATTGGTACTGTTTTAGGTTTTTGCTCCCAGCAAAAATTTAGAGAAAGAGTTAGAATTTAGTTAACATAATCCATGAAATTTAGTGAATGCTGCAGGAAATGCTTTAGAATAAAAGGCTAAACTATACAGTATCTTCTTTAGATGACAAGTTGCTCAGCTTTTCCATCTTTAGGAGGAGCAAGTTAGAGGAGAAAGGGTGAGGAGGTGAAGAAGGAAGATGTAGTTCAGCTGGAGGTTCTTCTCCTGGGCCCAGAGGAGGAACCTGAGTGTGAGCTGATCTCTAAAGGGCGGGAGACGAGTAAATCCCTTTTTGTGCTGGCAGAAGATGGTGTGAATGAGAGCGGTGAAAGAATATGAGCAATGGAGGCATGGAGAGGTGAAAAGGGTGAGGAGGAGGAGGGGGTAAAGGAGGTAGCATGGGAGTAGAAAGAGAGCAGGAAAATATGAGTTCAGTCTAAGGGAGAAGAGAGAAAAAATAACATATTTGGAGCCTGAAAGTTGAAATGTCATTTATTGTCCCTCAGTGGGAAATTTCAGACATTCCAGGAAGAAAATGGCAAGTTAGAAAATGCAGATAAACACAACAGCAAAATATAGAAGTTAAGAGTAAGAATGAGAGATGGTACAGTGCCTCAACATAGCTAACCTAATAAAAAGCACAGGAAGCGGAGGGAAGGTGAAGCACTAAACAATTAGCCTCATGAGATCATCCTGATCTCGCAAGCTTTCAAGATTTCACCCGCTAATCAGTCTGGAGACTCTCCCCGTTGAAGAAAATTTGGAGCCGTTCACCAAACGAACGTCCAATCAGCGTTGGCTTTGAGGCGGGTTGAGGTGTGACGCAACGAGAAACTAGCGTTAGCGTGGCTATCGAGCAAGTTTTATTGGAGTATTTCTTCACTAAAAGAAGAGCAAAACACTGCTCTGGAGGCTTCTCTCAGAGGAAAAGATGTTTTTTCTCTTCTCCCGACTGGTTTCGGCAAGAGTTTGATCTATCAATTGGCTCCTCTTAGTCGTCGCTCTGTTACGTCATATGCTTTGTTGATCTGATTGGTTTATTTGGCCCGTCTATCACCAACATAGGCCAATCAGCTAACCAGTATTTTCGCCCCTTCCCAAAATTACTTCAACCGAAGGTTTCTAGATGGATATGCGGAGCAAATCCATCTGGCGGAGTCAGGTTACTAAACAATCACATTTATAGAATTTTTAGTGCCTTTAAATGCTTTGAGAAACTCTTCAGTTTGAGTCAGCTATGATCCACTGGATCCAACTGTGGGACGTTTTTCAAAACGTCTAAGTGTAGCCACTCCCTACAGCTGGTTATTACTGCAGGGATGAGCTTCAGCATATGTGGGCTCAGCCTGACGAGTAACCTGTTGCTTTGTTCTTCAGCTGAAAACATCTTATCAGTTGTTTGACCCCTTACCTCTCCTTCCTTCAGGTGGCAGAACATTCTATGTGAATATGACTGTTTATCGATAAAGATTTCATCTCATTCGAACGGTTTGTAGAAGTGTAGAGAGAATCCACAGCAAACTGTCTTTGAGAAGAACCACTAAAACATCTCGCCTTCCTGCCTGCTGAATGCCTTTTTCCTGTAGATAGAATCTGGGCTCCTTGTCTGCAGCAGACAGATGTTGTCCTTTTGCTTTCTTCTGCCATCCAGCAGCCTTTGTGGATTCATCCATGAACCAGTTGTCCCACTGTGGCTGGATCCTACTGGAGTCGGTGTCCCGCTCAGCCAAACGAAGACTTACCAGCTGCAGTCGGACCCTGAACAGGCCGAGACAGCTGACTTGAAATCAGATGCCTTCATCTCTTGTGCGTGCTGAAGATAGGGAAAGTCGTTACTGCCTGACCTGTAATATCAAGAAAACACTTAAACGGCACCTGTCTGACGACATGAAGTAGGCTGTAGGCTACATTAACTTGAATCACATCAGGGTGCTATAAACAAATACATTTATAAAAAAAAATGGATGAGTCGTAAAGTAAAAACAAAAGACGAAAAAAAGCTGAAAATATTGTTTTGAGATTTTGTTTTCATTCACGGAAAGATTTATTCTTGTTATGGAATACTTAATATTAATAATCACTATCTGCATTTATCTAACTAATTTTGAATGAAAGGGCTCTCTATAGCGGTAGCCTTAAACAACTGTCCAATGTGTTTAAATGAAAGTCAATCAAAGTAGAGCAGGTTCAAAATTCCTTTGCAGTTTTTATAAACAGCTTTATAAAAACTGCAAGGGGGGGGGGGGACTTATCGGGGGCTCTCAGATTTATTGTTCATATTTCTACATTTTCGCAGAAACTTTGATCTAAAATCTTTGTACAAATGAGGATATAAGAATGCATTTCCTATCAAAGCTAACATAAAGCACAGAGGCTTTATGTTAGCTCCTTTTTGTATTTGATCTTGTTATCATTTTACAGTCATGGATGTACAATGGACTTAAAAAAGAATGTTATGGTCAATAACTTCAAACTTACTGTAATATAACCAGCATAAAAGCAAGATAAAACGTTCATAAACTGCAACGGAGGCTTTCTAAATGCTACATCCTTTCTTGGTTGTGCTTTTTGAGTGACAGATGAATCAGAGGAAATGGAATTGATGTGAACGGTAGTGTGACAGTGACATATTTAAACACCAGGTATTAGTCAGGATTTTATTTTTGTATTACATGATTCCTGATCGTCAATTGGAATATGACCTGTTACCATAGGCATGCAGAGCGTAAAGCATCTTCTTCTGCTGCTATGCCATCAGTACTTATGGCAAACATGGGGATAACTCCTACCTAGTCCTGCTGGTTTTCTAAATTGAAAGAGAAGAATATAGGTAGAGAAACTCCAGAGGTAAAGCCTTCATATGTGGAGGCTTCTTTGTTCTTTGGTTGAAGGAATATTTCCACAGTGTATCAGGCCACATGTATCATGCCTGATAAACCTCTATCAGCCACATTGTTAGCCCAGGTCAGGTTGTCCAGGTCACGTCCTGCAGGTCATGAACCCATAGAATGGAACCTGTAGGGAGGATTTTCCTTTACTTGCTGTTTGTTTGGTTGTTTTCAGGACATTATTTGCCATATGGTGACCTGTGGGAACATTCCTGCTTTGTTTGCACAGTATTGTTTCAGCCTAAGAGGTAATAAAGGGTCTAAGTGAATGATACAGCAGGTATTGAGACAGGTTCACTCCTACAAACTGCCTTCTTCCTGTTTGTCCCTTTTAGGGCTTTCCTTCACCACCAGGCTGTATCTTTATCCCTCCCTTCACTGCCTTCATGTTTAATCTTTTACCTCTTCTCTCCCTGTATCATTTTTTCTTCCCTCCATCATTTCCTCCCACCTTTCCACTTCACTCCCTCCATTTGTTTTTGCAGTGTACTGTTCCACAGAAGTCTGGCTACTGAGCGGTCAAGGTCACACTTGATTTTATACCTCAGCATGTCATCTCCGTCCATTATAAAATCAACTCCTCGGGTTTCCTCCTACTGGGAGCTATCTTTGTCCTTTTTTGAAAGAATATCAAGAACTTATTAGAAACAGAGGAAAATCAAACCAGGTTTGAAGGCATTCTCTCTGGTTTAATCTTGAAGAATTAATGGACTTTAATATTTGCAAGTTACAAAGTTAATTCATCACTGATATGCAAAAAACAATAGCATACTCTCACATTTGTGATGGCTACTATTTAAATACAAACAAGATTATTCTGACTGAAAACTACCTTTCTTGGCATGCTGGATGGCATGTTTAGTTTTATTGCAAAGTTTAAAGAAAAGGCAGTTTAGAAAGGATCTGGACCACATTAGGATCTGTCCAGTTAAAAAAAAAAAAAAAAAGCAACATGGAAAAACATTCAGTTTTAATTGTCTTTTTAAGAGGTGTACTTTAGTGTTGAATATTTACTCCAGGACATTTTACGCAACATTGCTTTTTATTTGGAGAAAGAAAGCCAAAGAAACATTGTTTTATTTTCCTTCTGCTGCCCAATAATGCAGAAGTCTGTGATGCTCCGTTACAATGAATCTGTTGAAAAACAGTGAGTTAGCATGTACAAGAGTTAGCATTTGGTCAAAGGGTGTGATTACTTTTGAAAGTAAAGTGTTTATCTGTTTGTGTTTAGATCTGAGTGCAAACAAAAATCATATCTACCCAAGAAAAAAATGCATTATAGACCAAATCTTCACTGATCTGCAGGGAATAAACATCCTGCAGAATAAAACCAACTGGCATTATCATCTTCCTTTTTTCTGTGCCTCAGGTCCTCCCAAGGTTTCAGAGAAGGTGAACCCTCGTCAGAGTGTCCGACTGGGTCGCACAGCCAAGCTGCCTTGCCCTGTGGAAGGAGACCCGCTCCCCATCATGATCTGGTCCAAAGACGGTCGAAATATCAACGGTGGCTGGACCCGGTTCAAGGTGTTGCAGCACAGCCTTCGCATAAAGGAAGTGGAGACGGACGATGCAGGCACCTACATCTGTAGGGCTATCAATGGGTTTGGCAGCGCCAACATTAACTACACCCTGATTGTCATAGGTAGGTGACTTCTAAGAAGTTGCTTACCAATCATATATCCAATGATTATCAAACATAACAGAATAAATATATGTATTAGGCCCAAGCAGCAAAGCGCTGCAAAGGCCTAATCCAATTTGAATGTTTATTTTTTTCTTCCAAAAAGACATGCCCATTGGAAGGCCTAAACTTTTATAAAAACTCATCAAAGTTGCCCTTAATTGTCCTCCATGTGAATTTTAAGAGTTTTAAGGCATTTTAAAATGGGCATGTCCGAACGGCTCTAGAGCTCCCCTAAAATTAGATAGTTCTATTTTTCTTTTACCCACGTCAAACTTTAATTTCCTACAGATTTTGACATTTGGGCTTTAAACCTGGTCTTTATGCATTTAAGGCACGTGAAATTGAAAGAGTTTTTGATTATGTCGAAGGGGCGTGGCCAGAAACTGAAGGTGGCATATTTGAAATGCATTAACTTTTACAAGGAAAACCCAAATAGAACCAGAGCTAGTAGTCTGTATCCCCTTCTTATTCCCAATTTACTGTCTGGTTAAATGATGACATCATGCATGCCCCACCCCTAGACTGAAGTAAATCACTTTTTACTTCCCTCTTTGGCCCTTTTGACCTTATTGAAACTGTCAGATGACAGATAGCATCTTGGTCTAACTTATCTCTATCACAGAGTGTTTGTTGAAGGGTGTTCAGGTAGAGGCATGGCCAAGTGCAGCCTTACGCCTTGACCACACGTTTGGTCCTTATTTCCACCAACATTTTTGAATCCGCACCAAAATCTATATGAATAATCCTAGTTCAACTTCACACTGGAAGTCAGGCCAATATGTGGTGGGTTTGGCTTAATTTCTCTACAGCGCCCCCTAGAAGAAACAAAAGCCGGCAGCCTCAACCCAAATGCACCGACACCAGGACCTACAAAAAAAATCTCATGATCCATACCCCATGAAAGGTCAGCCATTTTTGAGCCATGGTGCCAGTTTCTCTCATTTGCTGGTGTCTTATCTAAGCAAACACCTCACAGGGTTACAGACTTGAAATTGACTCAGCATAGACTTAAGGCAATGGGGATCAAAATATTTTGCTGCATCAAAGCATCTGGGAGTGGCCAATCATCAAATTCTGACTTCTCGCCATAAATCATGGTGTTATAACTTCCACTTGGGTCCCTTCCACACACCTGGTATCATTGCAAAGCACCAGAAGCTCTGGTCAACGGCTCAATCCGTGTCCCGTCAGACCATCAAACCTTCCTTTAGAAAACATGTGCAGCTGCAGATTTCGGTTTACCTAACAGTTTGTGAAGATTTTATTCTGGTTGGGTCTCCTCACACCAGACTTAGTGGTTTCCGATGCTGAACTGGCCTAACTGTGGGCTAGGGCTGCAACAATGGATTATTTTGCAAATCGATTAATCTGTCGATAATTTATTTGCTTAATTGATTAGTAATCAGATAGCCAAAGGTTCTTTAATACAAATTTAAACCAGGTGAAACTCAAACTTTTCCACTTAAGGATTTATGGATAGAGCATATTGACAGGTGAAATGAAAAATGTTGATTTATTTCTTTTCAATCTTGGTATAATTGCTGTTCTAAGTCGGTTTCTCTGTTAGCTAAAGGCATGTTTTACAGTCTCTATACTCCAGTTAGCAATTAATCGATTACTAAATTAGTTGACGATTATTTCAATAATGGATTAATCATGATTAATCTGATGTAAACATTTTCATGACATAGAGACGGTCATGTTTTAACACTTCTTGCTACACAGTAAATGTCCAGCTTATTTCCCACCGTCTGTCGGTTCGTTCCCATACTGTCTCATTTCTTCTTCCGAGATCTTTTACCGTGACCCTGTCAGCAGCTCTTGCACAGGTGTGTTTTCTTTTCCGTACCCGCCTTAAATAGCCGCTTCCCTCAACCCTTGTCCATGTAAACAAAATACCTGCAGAAGGACATTGTGTCAGTGGACCGTTGCACACATCAGAGTGTGTCTGAATGTTTGTGGATAGGCTTTGTGTGTGTCAGGTTTCAGTCAGTTAGTGCGGATGCCAGCAGAGAGATTAGAGGTTCAGAGTGTCCCCCAGAATCTGACTGAGGCATCTCCCCCTGCTCTGCTGCGGCACTTCAAACACCGTAGCTGAAGTAAAATGCTCCGACGTACAAACGGATGTTCTTTAACTTTATGTTGTAAAGGCTGTGCAGGATCTCTGCTCAGTGCTTTCCAAGGGCGAGTCCTGATCATGGGTATCTTAGATGAAACCACGATCTGTGATTAAGATGATTTAAATGTAAACAATTAAGAGAAGAGAACCTCAAACTGGCCTAATGCCAGCAGATGATCGGCTTTCATGCTCCGCAGTAATCAGTATTGGTATGTGATTCATGAACTGAACTACAAAGACGAGCTGGCATACAGAGGGCAGGCGGGTGTAGGGAGGGGTACAACAGCTGCTACTGAGGTCATCCAGGCAGGCAGCTGCTCCCCACCCTCACCCATTGCTCTCATTCACTGTTTCTTTTCATTCACTTCACATGTGCACGCAACCACTGAAGCAAATGCACACGGGCGAATCGTTTCTCCCTGCGGCCAGCCCTGAATTGAGCAACACATTTATTGAACCAGTTTTCTTCTGCTCCCAACGGTGTGTTGATAAAGAAACCATCTCAGGGACGGTGGGACATCATGTCTCAGCCTTTTGGCCAACATTTATTAGTTACAGTTCTCTGTCATAAGCTTAAAACAAGCGTCCAACAAGACTGCTAGTACCTCAGCAGCTTCTTCAGAGACGATGATGGGGTACAGATCCAGTTTGGTCTTATTCATTTTTAAAATTCACCTAATGCCAGATGGTTTCGACAAGAAATTCACTTCAGTTTAGGAGAAGGAGCCTCATCTTGATTGTTTTATTGAATTATCTTTGTTTAACCCATTTAGGCCTAAAACGCCTGGAAAAAACACCTTAAAAACCTATGGCCGATTTTAAAAAATACCCCTAAAACCTGAAGTTTTTCTGTAAATTCAGCAACTGTGTCAACGCCTAGTAAATTATTGATATCTCAGCTTCTGTAGCAGATAGAACTCAAAATATATTTTATCTTTGAAATTCTTCCAAAAAAAAAAAGTGAAAGGCAGTAATAAAAAAATAAAAAATTCAACCTTTATTTTTTCCATATGTGATCATGTCTTCATTGAGAATGTGCAATATAAAACGTTTTTAAAATAAAGAACAAACATTACATAAATAACTATCTGATGATTACTTATTAACAGTATTATTATGCATAATAATGCATATGTCTGTGTTATAAATTGCATACAACTTACCTCCAGATGGCCACAAATCTGTCCCGGGACATATTTTGGGGGAACTGCGTCCTGAAGAGAGGTTTACTCTGTCGCCAATAATCTCTTCGTACTGGCAACACAAGAAGTCCTATGCCCATACACAGCCCAATAAATGTCTTCATCTCCGTCACAGTCACGGGTGACCACTTTGCCATCTTTGCTCTTGTTGGAGTTTGGTTTGTTTGGTCACTGTACCTATTCGTCTCGGTAACAAGATGCATCCAAAGTTCTTCATTAAAAATATGCTCAAATGCCTGCAGCGGTGTGGTGTCTGCGGGCAAATCAACTTTCACTCCAGGTGTGCGGTTGAAAACACTCCGTGCATTGCGGTGGTAGTTCGATTGGTTCAGCGCGTTCAAAGTCATCATTTTCATCTATACCGTCATCAAAGCCGACACACTCCTCAAAATCACTGCCTTCCGACATCTCTTCTCTGTCAAACTCCTCCATGTTTGCTTGAAAAAAACTTCTTTCTTCTTGCTTGACTTATATGCTCTCCCGGCGTCAATGGTAGAATTACGCAACAGCGCCCCCGGCTTGAATGGTAGAAATGCGGTAATGCTTTCCCGGCCTAAATGGGTTAATAAGGATTTTGATGCCTGATAAGGACCTAAAGTTCTAGGCTAACTGGTTTTAATACATTTATTGAGTTTATTGCTTTTATCTAACTACCACATCTGTATTTTATGAATGTTTTTATGGAATGTGTTCTTGGGCTGCAACTAACGATTATTTTAAAAATCGATGAATCGGCCGATTATTTTTTCAATAAATCGATGAATCGGACAAAAAATATTTTTTACATTAACTTCTTTATTCCAAAATAAACTTTTTAGACAATACAAACAAGCACACAAGTACAGGTTGCTCATTAACTGTACTGTTGCAATATGAAAAATAAATGTTTGTGTTAAAACTACGCAAACTTACATGAGAAATGTAGCTGTATATCCACAAAATATAGGGTACTTTGTTTCATAAAGTGCAAAAAAATACAGGCATTTTTGTTTTTAAAAGCCCCTAAGAGGTTCAAACAACAGGCCCCCCCATTTCAACAAATGAGTTTTTTTTAGACTAGAAGAGTTCAGCCTTTTAAGCCAGGAAAGTATAGCAGTTAAAGTTGCTACTTGAAAAAATACTTAACCATAGAGATAAAAATAGCCCTGTGATTCAAATTATAAATTGTATTTGGAATAAAAATGAGAGAACTAGGGGTGCTAAAAAACACATCCTCCAAAGACAGATATTTACATGGGAATGTGGCATATAATTAATTGACATATTACTGATCTTGCTGGATTTTATTCTGCTTTACTTCCATAAATTGCAGGATCTTCTTTACTTTATCTTTGCCAGAAGATTTCAACTTTAAAAGCCTTGCCCTCATAATTTGCAAGTTAATTTATTTATAAAGAAAATATAAACGCTGCTTAAGCTAATTCAAATGAAATTAAAAGTAAAATAAGTAGCCAACCTTATCACTGTCTGTAACCTACTAACAAGGTAAGGAAAGTATCAGATGAGCTACCTGAGAAACTAACGTTACGTTTCCCCACTTTAAAACAAACAAACATGGTCGCTCACCCTGCTGATCAGCTCTCTTCACTGCCATCGAAGGCTCTAACGTGTTTTGTTTTCAATTTGCGCCGTCAATC